TGCCTAGCATGTGTGAGGCACTGGGTTYGATACTCAGCACCACATACAAATAGATGAAATAAACAAATAGATAAAATACAAGGTCCATCAACATTTTAAAAGTACTAAAAAAAAGAAAAGGTAGTAAAGAAATTTAATATGACAGGGACACAAGGTTGGTTCAACATATGGAAATCAATAAATGTAATTCATCACATCAACAGACTTAAAGACAAGAATCACATGATTATCTCARAAGATGCAGAAAAATCATTTGACAAAATACAGCATCTATTCATGTTCAAAACACTAGAAAAGCTAGGGCTAGTAGGAACATACCTCAACATTGTACAAGCTATCTATGCTAACCCCAAAGCCGACATCATTCTAAATGGAGAAAAAATGAGAACATTACCTCTAAAAATTGGAACAAGACAGGGATACCCACTTTCATCACTTCTACTTAACATAGTCCTGAAAACTCTAGCCAGAGTAATTATACAGAAGAAAAAAATTAAAGTGATAAGAATAGGAAAAGAAGAACTCAACTATCCCTATTTGCCAAAGACATAATTCTATATTTAGAAGACCCAAAAAATTCCACTGGAAAACTTCTAGAACGAATAAATAAATTCACCAAAGTAGCAGAATATATCAGCGATTAATCAACTGAGTGAGAAATTAGGAACACTATCCCATTCACAATAGCCTGAAAAAAAATATTTGGGAATCAATCTAACAAAAGAAGTGAAAGAATTCTTCAATGAAAACTACAGAACATTAAACAAAGAAATTGAAGAAGACCTTAGAAGACAGAAAGACCTCCCATGTTCTTGGATAGGCAGAATTAATATTGTCAAAATGCCCATACTACCATGGGGCTGGGGTTGTGGCTCAGTGGTAGAGTGCTTGCCTCACACATGCGAGGCTCAATCCTCAGCACCACGTAAAAATAAATAAATTAATTAAATAAAGATATTGTGTTCAACTACAATTTTAAAAAATGCCCATACTACCTAAAGTCTATAGAGATTTAATTAATCTTATTAAATCTATTAAAATTCCAATGACCTTCTTCATAGAAATAGAAAGAGCAGTCATGAAATTTATTTGGAAAAATAAGAGTCCCAGAATAGCCAAAGCAATCCTCAGTGAGAAAAGTGAAGCTGGAGGCATCACAATATGACCTTAAATTATATTACAGAGCTATAGTAACAAAAATGGCATGGTATTGGCACCAAAACAGACATGAAGAYCAATGGTACAGAATAGAAGACACAGATATAAACACACATAAATACAGTCATATTAGACAAAGGCGTCATTAACATACATTGGAGAAAAGATAGCATCTTCTGTAGCAGAATGAAATTGAACCCTTATCTCTCACCCTACACAAAACTCTGGTGGATAAAGGAACTAGGTATTAGACCAGAGATCCTGTACCTATTAGAAGAAAAAGTAGGCCCAACTCTTCATCATGTTGACTTAGGAACCAACGGCCTCAACAAGACTTCAAGAAGTAAAATCAGGAATCAGTAAATGGGATGGTATGAAACTAAAAAGCCTYTTTTAGAGCAAAGGAAACAATCAAGAATATGAAGAAAAGAACCTATAGAATGGGAGAAAATCTTTGCCACCTGCATCTGAGATAGAGCATTAATCTCCAGGACATATAAAGAACTCAAAAAACTTAACACCAAAAACCAAATAACCCAATCAATAAATGGCCAAAAGGACTGAATAGACACTCTATGGAAGAAGAAACATGAATGGTCAACAAATATATGAAGAAACGTTCAACATCTCTAGAAATTAGAGAAATACAAATTAAAATTACACTGAGATTTCATCTCACTTCAGTCAGAATGGTAATTATCAAAAATAAATGTTGGCAAGGATGTGGGGGGAAAGGTACACTCATACATTGCTGGTGAGACTACAAATTGGAAAGCACTTTCCACTCTGGAAATCAGCATGAAGATTCCTTAGAAAATTTGGAATGGAACCACCATGTGACCCAGCTATCCCACTCCTTGGTTTATACCTAAAGGACTTAAAATCAGCATACTATAGTGACACAGCCACATCAATGTTTTGGGCAGCTCAATTCACAATAGTTAAACTATAGAACYAACCTAGGTGCCCTTCAACAGATAAATGGATAAAGAAAATGTGGTACATATACATAATGGACTATTACTGAGCCTTTAAGAAGAATGAGTTTATGGCATTTGCCAGAAAAAGGGTGAACTGGAGACTATCATGCTAAGTGAAATAAGCCAATCCCCCCAAAACAAAGAATTTTCTCTTTGATATGCAAATACTGACTCCCAATAAGGGGCAGGTGGATAGAAGTTCACTGGATTAGACAAAGAAGAATGAAGGGAAAGGAGGGGAATGGRAATAATAAAGACAGTAGAATGAATTGGACATAACTTTCATATGTTCATATATGAATATATGACCAGTGAAACTCCACATCACATACAAGCACAAAAATGAGAAGTTATATTCCATCTGTTTGATATGTCAAACACATTCTACTGTCATGTATAAATAAAAAAGAACAAATAAAAAAATTTTAAGAAAAGAAACAAAATATAAATAAATAAATWAATKAATTTAATATAAATTTAATCATTTATTCCTTACAATGGCTAGCATGGCTATCAGTGTAAATAAACTTTTAAAAAATAATACTGTATGTACTTGTGTTGTAAAAGTCAGGATAAATATCTATAAGATGTATTAGAGGGCCAGGAGTGTAGTTCAGTGGTAGAACACTTGCCTAGTACATGAGTGAGGGAGTGAGGCCCTGGGTTTGGTTCTCAGTACCACACACCCTCACCCACACACAAAAGCATCAGATGACTGGGTGTGGTGGCATATGCCTGGGCATATGCCCAGTGGCTCAGGAGGCTGAGGCAGGAGGATCATGAGTTCAAAGCCAGCCTTAGCATAGTGATGCCCGTGGCAACTTAAGGAAACCCTGTCTCAAAATAAAAAAAAATAACAAAAGGGCTGGGGATGTGGCTCAGTGGTAAAGCACTCCTGAGTCAATTCTTGATACCAAACCAAACAAAATAAAAGCGTCAGATGTATTACTGAGCAAACAGATAATTTCCACGAGCATGTTATTTTGTCCTCCCGCTCCCAAAAGTTATATGTTGAAGCCCTAACCTCTAATGTGTCTGGAAACAGGGACTTTAAAGGTGGGCYCTAATCTAATGTGATGAGAGAAAAGGAAATCAGGACACATGCAGGTACAGAGGAAAGACCACGAGCAGACTTCACAAGGAGGTAGCCATTTGCAAGCCAGGAAGAAAGGCCTTTGAAGAAAACAGATCTGTTGACGCCTTGATCTTGGACTTCAGCCTCTAGAACTGTGAAAAAAAAAATTTCTCTAAGTCACCCAGTTTGTAGAATTTTGTTACGGCAGTTTTAGCAGACTAAGGAATCATTCTATATGCTGGTTTAAACGTGGAGTATCCCGAACAAGGTCCATGGAAAGTCAGATGGTCTGCCCTGGAAAACTTCTAGATGATTTGGTGGCCCTCCTGATGAGGAAGAAGACGGTGGCAAAGATGTTTGTGAAGGATTTGACTRAAATTATTTCATGAGATAAGAATAGAAAAAGCAGTGTTTTAAAAATAATATTGTTAAATATCAAATGTTAACTTTTTTTTCCTGGTGCTGAGGATGGAACCCAGAACCTAGGGCCTTGCTTATCGTAAGCAGGCATACCACCACGGAGCTACACTTCTCCCCAAAGTTAACATTTAACAGTTTCATCTAGATTTAAGTTTACCTTTTGAGTTTGCCAATAATCTTCTGATGAACTTTTATTGAGGGGAATAGAGATTTTCTTATAGTTCGGATATGTGCAAATAGATTTTTTTTTTTTTCAAGTTAGAATGAAGTATAGGCCTACGGGAAAAAAAATAACCATGATGCTATTTAGTGTCAATCGGTCAAATTAATTTGGAAATGAAAATGACAAAGGAAAGAATCACTTTTTACAGTGAGTTTCAAATACGACAAGTGTTGTTTGGGTGGTTTTGGTTGGAGTTGATCTATACAGTTTATAGATACATCGCGAAAAGAATGCCTTTTGAATAAAACATAAAATGAACCTTCTCCTTTATCCTATGTCCTGACATCAGTTTCTACTGGGTATCCTTCTGCCGGGTACAGAGGCTGCCTAACCTAAAATCTAAATGACAATTGTTTTGTGGTTCTTAGAAAATGCTGGTAACTTAGCTGGGCGTGGTGGTACATACCATAATCCCAACTACTCAGGAGGCTGAGGCAGGAGGATCACAAGTTTGAGTCCATCCTGGGCAAATCAGTGAGACTCTGTACCAAAATAAAAATTTTAAAGGCTGGGATATAGCTCAGTGGTAGAACACCCCTGGGTTCAATCCCTAGGACTAAAAACAAAAAAAGAAAATGCTGATATTCACTGAATGTAAGTGCAGACATCCAGGGATGTCTTCCCACATCTTTCGATTTTTGGTGTTCTTTTCTCTTTAAGAAACCAGGTGAGTACTTCTCATTCTCATGAGTTATATGTAGTCCTGAATTTTGCATTTTCTTTAAATGCTGTTTATTTAGTCTCTTCCCAAGTTCCTCAGTGAAGATACCATGTTACTGAGCAGTCCTTCGTTTTGACTGAAAACCTGCCCCAAGGCTTGAAACAATGATTATGTAAAGGGAAMAATTAAATACAAGTGAACACTTAAATACAAGTTTTCTAGCCTAGTTATCTCTATGACAAAATAGACAAAAGGCATGCATACATCCTCATCTTCAAAATTTTCCTATCAGAGATGTTTCCACCAGAAGCTATTAAGCTATTGCTCCAATCTAAAGAGCTTGTGAAGAGGCAAAGTCTTATGAAGTGCAACTTGTAAATAAACTGAACATTGAATATTATTGCCTTTTATTAAATACAAGGAGATGCATAAGAAATAGGTAATAGACTATAAACTGAAGCATGAGTTTCTGTTGAAGTAGGGATTTAGGTGCATGTGGGTTCCATGCAAGTGAACTGTAAGTGTTTTCCAATTCCAACTAGCCCAAAGAATATAATGACATTCATTCCAAGGAAAGCATTCAGGTGAACAAGCATCTGGGATCTAAAACTACAGTGTCCACCACACTGGTACTGTGCTTTTCAGGGAGACCAGGGTAACAAATAACATCAGTTGCTGTAGCACCTAATATGATGCTTTGTATACAATAGATGCTTAATAAATGCAAAAACTATCTTGCCAATGAAATTTTGGAAAGCTGGAGAAGGGATAGTGAAGATGGTACTGGGAATTAAAAAAAAAAAAATTTTAAATCTTTTTTCATCATACAGGTATTTCTGTAGTACATACCATGAAAAAAAATGTGAAATTTATAGAATTACAGGCATCTATGAGAAAATAGACCAGTATATTAAATTGAATAAAATATATGCTGCTGGAAAAATGATCCTGGAATATTTATCAATAGCATGGGTGTTGATCTTCATGCTCACGTAGCTGCTTCTTGGACTTTTCCTCTGGGGAGAGCTCCTCTCTGAGGCCAGGGTCAGCTGCACCATCATCCTGTCGGGCTTCTCTCCATTCTCTGGCATGTAGTTGCCCAGGTCGTTCACTTCGCCATCACTGTAGCTGCCATCCAACATCACAGCCCGCGACTGCGGTAACCCACAGGCGCAGGGGAGCTGCAAACATAGCAAACACTCACTGSCTTTCCAGCTCAGTGTCATCGCTCGGAAGGAAGCCCTACCAATGCAACTGCATGATGATGTTGCATTTCTCCAGTTTCTTTTATTCCCAGTTTGGGGGAAAGGTGGGAAAACGACAGTGTTTTCACTATCAACAGCCTAAAAGAGCAGGTATTCATTTTTTATTGAATCAAAGTCTACAAATTAACGCTTAGGAAACAGTGCTGTGTCATGCAACAGACTATCAAGAAGGTTCACGATTAGAAAAATCACCCTGTTCTCTGTGAGATTATAAACATACTGAGCCTGTGGTTAAAAGTGTTTACAAAATCACATTATTATGGGMGTGTGCACGCACGTGAGTGGTGGAGGTAGGAATTGGAAAGATGTGGCAAATAGGTTGTGGAAATAGGTTAGTACTGTGTGGTAAGATTTTTCTGGAGGAGATAACTATCAATTTGCAGACTGGATGAAGAAAGGAAAGCCAGACTGGGAGGAAAGGTAACCTGGGAAGGTAAGGGAGATGTATGAGGTCATATGTGAAGGAAAATTTCCCAGAATGGAGGAGCTTCATCCCTGGTGTGTTCTTTTATTCCTCCTCTGCTTCATAATTTGTTCCACGGTGTTAAATTGCCATTTATTTTTCTCCTGGGATTCTCTCATTAAACTCTGAGCAGCAGCAAGATTAAAGAAACCATGCCTTAGTTAAGTTGGCTTARTGGCCCATGGTGAATGGTAGCTGTTAAAGAAAAGTTTCAGTGAATGAAAGATGTAGTCGAGTAAATGTTACACTGTTATGATACACATCAATTTGTTTGTTCTTTACTACAACACTGTGAAGGAGGAGGGGGAAGGGGTATCACAACCCCATTTTACAAAGAAAGTCYGACTTACCCACAGTCCCACAGCCAGACCAGGCTCCACCCTGACCCAGCCCCATTATGTACATGGGAAAGTCACCTTCTCTCGCAGCTTCAATTTCCGTTCCTTCCGCTCCTGCACCGTGGTCAGGTAGTTGACCGCTGCATACTCCAGCACCGAGAGGAACACGAACACAAAGCTGACCCAGAGGTAGATGTCCACCGCCTTGATGTAGGACACGCGGGGCATGGAGGCGTTCACGCCCGTGATGATGGTGGACATGGTCAGCACCGTTGTGATGCCTGTAGCAGACATTGAGAATGATGCACACGGCTCATCTTCCACCAAATGCTGGATGGCTCTGTGCCTCTGCTTCTTTGTCCCTACTGCTCCCTCAGCCTACAAGGTCTCCATCCAGACCCTCTGTCCAGCAAACACCTACTCATCTTTCAAGATTTAGCTTTTATGGAAGTTTTCCTTTCCCTCATCCCCACCTTTTCTCTCCTCTGTGTACCTTAYAGGTTCATCTTAGCCCGGGATCACTTTATCCTTTTGCAAAGAATCCCAGACATTTTGGCATTGAGACATTTCTTTCAATTCAATTATTAAAAAGAAATTGCCTACTTAAGCAGGTATGTACATATGCTTCTTGTAAGTACTGCTCAATCTAGGCAATGAAAGTGCATGGGATTTATTTTAATATTTTTGTCCTTGCTGCTATTGTAGAAACCTATGGTCCGGAACCTGCCTTATCAGCTATTAGGCATCTCTGGCAGCCCCTTTACACTGGATCTGGCTGCCCACTTGAGAATCTAGAAGTCAATTTTATGAAGTATGATGTTGTTAACTTCATTTATAGGAGACACATTTAAAAGCTGGAATGTATATTTGTTTAACACAATAACAGTTTTAGCTACCCAACAACCATTAGAGGACAGGGCATCTGTCTGTGGAAATTTGCCCAGGATTTCAAATTAAGCTCAGAACATTTGCTTGGCAAACATCAAATCACAGGGGATTGGGGTCATCCTAGAGGCCATCTCCAATCCATTTTCACTAAAACCTGGTGGGTCACACTGTCCCTTGCAGCCCCTGCACTGTCTGCACAGTGGTGGTGTGTGTGTGGTTAAACGGGTCCAGTATTTACTTGTCATCCATGGAATGCTTATGGATGGGGGGATTTCTAGCCTGGAGAATATACAAGCTGGGATAGCTTGTTAAAAATGCAGGTTCCTTGCCTTTGTTCAGAGAGTCAGATTCTTTCAATAAGATAATATTCAAAAGTTCATTTTAAACCACTTCCCTCAGAGATTCTGTCACAAAGATCCCTTAGGCCACCTTTTGAAAAAAACTTCTTGCTATGTAGAGTCTTAATTATGAAACTTTGCCTGTGAATTAATACCTTGAAGTATTTTCAAGCACCCAAAAGAGTATAGGACCAATTTGAAAAGAATGATTTTATCTGGAATAACTTCAATTTTCAGATGCTTAAAACRTGCAGTTGAGATGTTCCTTACCTAAGGGGACTCTGGCAGGCACCGCTCTACGGTCAATCCAGAAGGACACCCAGGACAGCATGACCATCAGGGTGGCAGGGAAATAGGTTTGGAGCAGGAAGAAGAAGATGTGACGACGCAAAGTGAAATTAATGTATAGACGATTGTACCAGCCTGAGAGACATAAGGAAGAAAAGAGCACAAGTCATAGCTACTCGGCAATATCAAAAAAGAATTCTTTTTTTKGGGGGGGTAGCTGTGTTCCTTTTTATTCCTTTTCTAAAATTGGTGCATTATAATTATATATAATAGTGAGATTCATTTTTATGTATTTGTACATGCACACATGTAACAATATAATTTGGACTATTTCATTCCCCAGTACCTCCCCCTTCCCTTCTGCCTGCCATTTCTTCTACTGGTCTCCCTTCTTTCATGAGATTTCCCACACCTATCATACACCCCTTCCTTTTTTTCTTACTAGCTTCTACATGTCAGAAAAACATACTTGATTTTCCGAGTTTTGCTTATTTTGCTTAACATAATAGTCTCAAGTTCCATCCATTTTTCCTGCAAATGATATAATTTCATTCTTCTTTATGATTGAATAAAACTCCATTGTATATACATACTGGGTTTTCTTCATCCATTCATTCACTGACAGATACCTAAGCTAGTTCTGTAATTTGGCCTTATGCTTCTAAAGATGTTGAACATTTGTTTTCATATATTTGGCCATTTGTATTTCTTCTTTTGGGAAGTGTCTGCTTAATTCATTTGCCCATTTATTGATTGGGTTATGCAT